TAGATTTTTCTTTTTTTGGGGGGTATAGTTTCTTATTTTCCTAAAGGCTTCTGGTCTGGCTCTATTGGTGACATCGTTTTAGAGGTTTCTGGTCTTTGCTTTCCCTGTGACTACACTGTCTTAGTGTGGTTTCTTTGGCATATGAACCAGTTGTTTCATATAGGCAAGCATTTTTATCCCTGTGAAAGTGACTTGATATTACCTCTGAATAATGATCAATTAAGTCATCGAATGTTAAACAACTGTTTTTTTCCCCCATTTGGTGATCTTTATGCCTAGATCAGATGTAAATTTGTAATTATACCGAAAGATAATTGTCAATGATCAATATTACTACATTATAGATAACCCCCAATTTATGATCAGTCACTTAGCAACTATTTGAAGTTATGATGGACTTCCTCACAGTTACTTATGACCTGAATTCAAAGTTCCCGTGGTCATGTGATTGCCTTTTGGCCGATTGGCAAATGGCCCGCATCTATGGAATAGATCAGTCCAATATTTTCTGCCGGAAACCATCATTTACTTTAATTATCCAGGAAGAAATACCCATTGCAGGTAACAGATTTGCTTAACGACTGCCTGCCTCATTTGCTTGATGGCCATACTTAACAACTGTGATGAATTACTTAACAACTGCCACAAAAAAGTCACAAAATCGGTCAAAGTCATGTGGTGATCTATTTAATGACTGGCACAGATTAAACTATAATTCTGGGTTCAATTATGGTTGTAAATTGAGGATTACCTCTGTGTACATTTAGGACTAGATGATGGTTTCAACAAATTTAAACTGTCACACTTCTTTCAGAATCTTTTGATCTAAAAATACTTTTCCTATTATGGCTCAGGAATAAAATATATTGGCAACAAATTCTTCTCTATTTTTATTAAGTTTCAAATGCTATATCACTTTAAAAATAAGAGCTATTGATTTCATTTAGAATAATATATTCCCCTCAGTCTGGATATTGTCTATATTTTTTTAATAAAAAGGTTTCTGGACAGGATGTCTTCTACATTTATACCTGTGTTGAATAAAAACCTTTATCTGACCCTTCAGTTTTAAGAAGAGTTTGTCTTCTTTCCCTATACTTCCTTTTTGAATTGGACCTATAATATTCAGATTACAGGTAGGGACAGAGCTGTTTTGTAGTCTGTCTTTTATCTTTGTAGAACACCTCTGAAAAGTGCTTTAAAAAGATTAATTTCTACTTTGGAACCAGTTAATTGTTGGTAACGATATTAAACATTGAAACAAAAGTTTCTATTAGTACGCCTAGATGAAACAAACATGTAAGAAAAATTTGTTACTTCCAAGAACTAACTCAAAAATCAATTCTGCCTATAGATGGATAAAACTGCTGGATTAGACCAAGCATCAATCAAGTTCCTCATAATGGCCAACTAGATGTCTATGATAAACCCACCAGAAAATCAAGACAATAATTGCCTTAATTGTCTTCCCATTTTCAAAGAATATGCACAGGCTTAGTTTTTATAAATTACACATCAAAACAAAAAAAAATTCAAATACACAAAAATGCTTATTTATTTTTTTAAAAAAAACTAAAATACTACATATAAAGTTAGGCTCAAGATTCAGAAAAATCTTGACAAATTTGAGCACTGGGCTCTATCCAACCAAATGCAATGTAGTGGTGATAAAAATAAGATTTTACACTTTAGGCAAAAAACAAAAACAAACGCACAGGTATAGAATAGGTGGTACCTGGCTCCACAGCGGTAATTGTGAGAGAGATCTAGGAATCCTAGTGGACAATCGCCTAAGTATGGGTCAACAGTGCACTGCAGCTATCAAAAAAGCCAATGCAGTCCTAGGCTGTATCAACAGAGGGACAGTATTAAGATCATGCAAAGTGTTCATACTGCTTTATATTGCACTAGTAGGACCACACTTGGAATACTGTATCCAGTTTTGGTCGCCAGGATAGACAAATATGTTGAGTCTCTGGAAAGAGTGCAGAGAAGAGCAACAAAGATGATTAGTAGACTGGAGGTTAAAATGTATGAACAGTTATGAGAGATGGATATCTTTAGTCTAATAAAGAGAAAAACTAAGGGTGACATGATAACAGTCTTCCAATATTTGAGGGCCTGTTACAGAGAGAAGGGGTTCAATCTATTCTCCATAGCATCTGAAGGCAAGATAAGAAGCAATGGATGGAAACTTATCAAAGAGATCCAACCTAAACTTAAAGGGACATTTCCTGTCAGTGAGAACAATCAGTTGAACAACTTGCCTCTAGAAGTCGTGGATGCTCCTTCACTGGAGTTTTTAAAGAAGAGATTGGACAGCCATTTGGCCAGAATGGTATAGTGTCTCCTGCTTAAGAGGTTGGACTAGAAGACCTCCAAGGTACCTTCCAACTCTATTATTCAGTAATTCTGTCAATTGTAGCCTATTACTCTATACTTCAGGCTAAGTTAACAGAAGATAATTTTCCCTCTGTAGAATCCTCTTGTAAACAATGTTACTTCGTTACTCTGTATTTAATCTCTTACTGAACTATAGTTCCTCTTATGAAAGGACAGCTGTTCTTAAAATAAGAAATTTAACATTTGCTAAAAGGAACAAAGATAATCCCCAGGTTCACAATTTTTCCAACTTCAAAAATGTAAGGAACAATTATTTGGTTTGTTTATTTATTATACCAATTTATGTAGCAGCATCTTTTAACTGTGATTCTGGGTGGTGATTTTAGGATATGAACCTTCAGACCACTGGAAACATTCAGATTTTTAAGAACTTTCTGAAGTACTGATGAAGTTGCAACCAAACAAATCTTAGATGGTTTGGTATTCTGGAGGGCAGATACCTAACTGTGCACAAATGTCTATAGAATTGCCAAATCATTGCAATATTGTTTTTTGTCTCTGCACCAACCTTCTCAAATGTCTGTATTGTCAAGGCCACGTTTACTGTTACAATTCAAAGACTTCTATATGGTATCCAGCATTAGTCTAAATATTGTGTACAAGTAAGGCAATGCAATAAAATGTAGGTTTATTATCCCTTAACACAATGAGAAAAGTGTATTGAATATACATATTATTAAGATGGAAATGTAACTTTGAGCGTATGTATTAAACATTTCAGAGTATTATCATACCAGAGTGAACATAAGTATGAGAGTTTAATACTGGAATTTTCCTTGTTTCAAGAAATATATAATAAAGAAAACCATGCAGTTCTCTCACTCACACTCCTAGAGAAAGATTTTTGTAGAATATCATAACTGTGCTCAGACTTTCTTTACCGATAACCAGATATATTTCATTACAGCATTAATTCTTCTTTTCAGTGTACCAAATTATTCCATCTAGGTTTTAGAACTTGGGGCAATCAACCTTAACAATCAATAATAGAGTCCTGAACCACCTAAGAGTTTTTAAAAGAATTCAAAGATGAACTGACTAGCATCACAGAAAACATGTGCAACTTGTACTCAAACAGGGCTCAGTACCAGAGGGTCACCAGTGTTCCACCCATTTAAAAAGGGACCTGAGAACATCTGAGAAATTATGATCTGGTCACATTAATGTGATTCCATTGATGTGATTCTACACTGATTCCAAGCAAATGGGTAAAACATTATTTTTTTAAAAAAACACAAAATCTATAGAACAAGTCTAAGCGGTTTACAAAATCAGCATATTGTGCCCAATAATCTCGCTCCTTATTTTACCGACCTCAGAAGGATAGAAGACTGAGTCAACTTTGAGCCGGTCAGGATCAAACTCCTGGCGGTAGGCAGAGTTAGCCTGCAATACTGCATTTTAACCACTACACCACCATGGCTCTTACAATAAAAAGGTACAATTTGTTTTTTCAGGTAGCATGGATATATTTAATGATATAATTTAAGAATGGGAAGGAATGTGGTTCTGAGCTATTTATAAATGCATTCATTGATAAGGTTTGCCTTTGCTACCATGATATCTTCTTTTTAAAGTCTTTCTAAATGTGTTTTTCAAGTCAATATTTACATAAGAAGCAGCTCTCAGTGTTTATGGAAACCATATTCCTCTCATCCTATGTTAATCACAAGAATGAATTCCAGACTGCTGCAATAATAAATGGAGCAAGGTGTAATCAACTACATTTTTGTCCTACTAGTCTGACTGAGATTACTCAGGTTTGTTTACGCAAATGGAAACACTCTAAATGGCAAGGGACAGATTGTTGTTATTGAAAATTGTACTTATAAATAAACAATATTTGCAATGTTCCAGTTTTTACTGTTTTCCCCAACTATATTAACTAGGTAGCCAGGTAAACATTCCACATAGTTAAAAAAATTGGAGGGGGGTATGGGAATTCTATTCATCTACAACTGCTTTTGTAAAAAGGAAAGATGTGTAACGGATATAAACATGACAATCCCGAGAGAAGGGGAAAAGGTACAAAAACAGGATTGGGGAGGAACAGCCCATAGAAATAGAAGATCCAGGAAACAGGAAAACAAGGAGGCTATCACATGGCAGAATGTAGGTAAAGAAGTAGGGACTGACAGTCTCGCCGCCCCAATCACATTTGGGAGAGGAGGAAATCAATTTATGTTGGAAAATAGGAGGTAATGTTGGATACCTTGAGTTATTTATAAAAATAATAAAGGCAGAATACAAATAAACATCAAAAATCTTGTATGAAAGAGCATGGAGGAATAAACAAAAGGAAGGCATGTCCACAGCATGTATTAGCCCTGTAGAAAACTAAGCTGTGCTCTTGAGTTAATGTGTCTATAATTTGACTACTACATGTTTACTGGATCATAATCTTCCACTGACATTTTGTAATCCCAAATAGGACAGTCTTCTCTAATGTGACACTCTGGATGTGACTGGATCAACTCCCATAATTCTCAGTCTGCAGCCATATTATCCAGATATTATGGGACTTGAAAGGTTAACATATTTTGAAGGGATCATTTTAGGGAAGGCTGAAAAACACTTACTGCATTTTAAACATTTACCTTAAAGTTTCCACCACCCTTTTGGCTTTCCTACAGAAGTTGTCTCTAATATTGTTCAAGGAGGGAAAAAGTGATATGGGAAGAAAGCAAAAGAAGAAAACAAAACAGCATTAATTTCTGTTGATGAGAGATAGATATGCAGAATTATTGGTGGTGAGTTTCAAAAACCTGACAACCACTAGATCGCTGCAAGAAACATAGATAATTCAGGAGTTCTCAAATTAAGGATTATGACAGTTTTAAAGTATTTCACAGACAGGGATTATTAATGTAAATGAAATGGCCAAAATTTCAGCATATGTTTACACATTTTCAGGTTTTGATGATATACTATCATCAGTCAGCAATATTGGAAGCAACTATTTTAACAAATATTGGCACAGTTTCAGCACAATGTACTGCTATAGTCTTTGTAGTAGCTGTAGAAAGGTGATAATGAAGTTCAATACTTTTATTCTTTTTATTTTAGAAAGTTGCACTGCTGTATCTACTTTTATTGAAGTACAAGAGGTCTGTGAGATGGATGCTATTATAGTGACTGTTGTTTCCTTCAGCTACCACTCTTTGTATATTTATTGTTATTGTTCTTTTTCTATTGAATTTTAATTTTAGATTAGCCAACCAGAGTTGCTGTCGTGAGATGGACAGCCATATAAATTGATTGACATACAATAAATAAAACCACTCCTAAAAGTAAATGGCATGTTTGCTTCTTGCTGAAAATCAAGTCAATAAAATCATTAATATTCAGAGGAGTGTCACACAAACTTGTTTGCTGTCCGGAGACACAGTAGTGTATCACAAAGTTTGTGGAAAGCCTCAGCTTAACTCCTTTTTACAGACCTTTTCAAACAAGTCCTTGGGAAAGCTCTATTGCAGAAAAATATTCAAGATGCTCAACACCCTGAGCATCTTGAAATCAGGATGGAATGAAAACGTAATAAAATATACAAAGGATGAGCCGGGGACACATGTGGGGTGCGGATGAGATTTCCCAACCACAGCTATGTACAGGTAGTCCTCAATTTACGACCACACCTGAGCCCCAGATTTATGTGGTTAAGTGGGAAATTTGTTAAGTTGAGTTCTTCCCCATTTTACGAACTTTTCTCACCATGCCATTGTTAAGTGAATCACTGCAGCTCTTAAATCAGCAACACGGCTGTTAAGTGAGTCCGGCTTTCCGCCGTTGACTTTGCTCGTCAGAAGGTTGCCAAAGGGGATCACATGACCCAGGGGTGGATTCTACTTACCTTTACTACCAGTTCGCAATGGGGCCGCGCACGCACACTTGCTTACACGCATGCGCAGAAGGATTTTGATAACATCGGGGTCGGTGGACTACCAGTTCTATAGAACCGGTGCAAACCGGGGGCAACATGACCCCAGGACACCATCAACCGTCGTAAATGTGAGTCTGCTGTCAAGCATCCAAACGTAACTCATGTGACCCTGTAAATCACATGACCCTGGGGATACAGCAACGGCCGTTAAGTGTGAAACGCGCTCATAAGTCACTCCCCCCCCCAGTGCCGCCGTAACTTCGACCCGGTCACTGAAGGCGGTGTTGTAAATCGAGGACTACCTGTAACTCCTTGGGCCCCGTATGCAGATTTGTTTTAAAGGCTGAAAATAGCTTTCGTATTTCAGCAGGTGCGAAAAAGGAGGACAATAAATAAGCTGAAGGGAGGAGAGGTGGGCGAAACCCCGAGCTTGTTTATGGTGAATTAAGCGAGGGAGGCTGGAGACCGCCGGGGCGAGGAGGCTTCCTGCGTGGGCTTCCCCCTCGCCCGAAGCGCCGGTTCTCCCAGTGAGCCGAAGAAGGGAGACCCGGCAGCCCACGAAGCCCCCTTTCCGCCACTGCGGACGTCTCCTCCCGCCAACCCACCCTCCGTCTACGGTTCTTGGCTTGCGGGACCATCGTCACTTCGCCGGTTTACTCACCCTTGGCCGGCCTGGCGCGGACCGGACCGGAGCCGAGGCGTCCGGGGGCGAATCCCTCACCAGCACCCCCGCTTCCCTCAGACGACGACGCCCGTGGTCTCCCGCTCCTCCGAAGGTTCCAGCGGGTCTGTGGGGGGCGGGCCGGCGGCCGCGCTCCCTCGCTCGCACACGTCGCCCTGGGTGTTTGACAGAGCCGCGCGCCGCTCGCTCGCGCGCGCTCCCGCTCTCCTTTTCAGCGGACGGGGCCCTGCGGCCGCGCACGCGCACCAGCGCCGGGGGCTCGCTTTTCCATTGGAGCTTTTCCTTTCCTTTCCTTTCTTTTTTTTTCCCGCCTCCCCTCCCCTTTTCCCTTCTTTTCTTCCTTCCGCCTTCGCTCCACCCTTACAAACAAACAAAAACACCCACCAACGCCCCTCCCCTCTCCCTCCTCCTTCCCCCCTCCCCACTCCGAACAGGAAGCGAAAGGAGGCGACCCCGGATGCAGACCCAGGAACGGCCGTTGGGAAGAAGAGAGGCCGCGCGCAGGGAGTTTTGGAAGTGGGTGGGGGGGAAAGGAGAGAAATCCGATCACAGGCACCGATCGGTTTCTAAAGCGCATGCGTCTCTCGGTGACGCAAGCGCGGTGTTTTGAGAGGTGTTGGGATGGACAGAGTGGGGAGGGGGGGGAATCTGAGCCACATATTGTAATAAGTCTTCGTTTGCTTAACTATGGTGTGCTGGTAGTCCTCGACTTACGACCACAATTGAGTCCAATATTTCTTCTTGTTCAGTGAGACATTTGTTAAGTGAGTTTTGCCCCAGTTGTTAAGTGAATCACTGCCATTGATAAATTAGAAACCCGGTTGTTAAGTGAATCGGCCTTCCCCGTTGACTTTTGCTTGTCGAAAGGTTGCAAAAGGGGGATTGTGTGACCTTGGGACACGGCAACGGGTCGTAAGTATGAACCAGTGGTGAAATCTAAAATTTGTTACTACCGGTTCTGTGGGCGTGGCTTGGTGGGTTTTTTTTTTTATTTTTTCTACAACCTTTTAGGCGAAGAGGTTGTAAAAAAATGCTTTCAAAAGGCTCTGATGATCCCGGCCGAGTTGCCTGATCGGCAGAGGCTTTTTTTCTTTTAAATGCCTCTGACAATCCAAGCTGAGTTGCCTGATTGTCAGAGGCATTTAAAAGAAAAAAAAACCTCTGCCGATCAGGCAACTCAGCTGGGATCTTCAGAGCCTTTCGAAAGCATTTTTTTCTACAACCTCTGAAGAGGTTATAGAAAAAATGCTTTTAAAAGCCTTTGACGATTCCAGCTGAGCCGCGCGATCATCAGGCTTTTTTTTTACTTTTAAAAGCATTTTTTCAGCCGAAGAGGTTGTAGAAAAAATGTTTTTAAAAGTAAAAAAAAAAAAGCCTCTGATGATTGTGCAGCTCAGCTGGGCATGTGGGGGGAGGGGGGCAGGGATTTTTGCTACCGGTTCTCCGAACCACCCACTTCCATCGCTACTGGATCGGGTGATCTGGTCCGAACCAGGAGCATTTCACCCCTGGTATGAACCCGTTGCCAAGCAACTGAATTTTGATTACGTGATCATGGGGATGCTAGAAAGATGGTTGCTGTGAAAAATGGTCATGATTCACTTTCTTCGGTGCCGTTGTAACTTTGAACGGTCAGTAAATGAACTGTTGAAATCGAGGACTACCTGCATTCAATAGGACACAATCTATATAGGGAATTGCATGGAGCGCTAAGCCATATGCCAGGGATTAACAGATCCCCAAAGCTACAGTTACAGAACAGACCAATTTAAGAATGTGGCTTTTTGAACTTGATGTGCAAATCTGACACTGTTGCCCCTTTTCTCCACAACAACAACAACCCTGTGAGGTGGGTCTGGCTAGGAGACAGAGTGACTGGCCCAAAGTCACCCAGCCAGTTTCATACATAAGGGAGATAGATCTAAAACTCAACTTCACCACCGCGGGAAACTGGCTATATATCAGTACGGTGACTGTGTGTCTCACTGCTAACTTCATAGTGTGTAATCAAATACAGGGAGCAAAAGGTATAGTTCAAGGGTTGAAATGCGGAGTCCTTGGTACTTTGAGCTTGGTTGTTTTCTTGCAGACATTTCATTACCCAAACTAGGTAACACCAGTGCTAGTAGGAAGCGGGAGTTTGCTCTCATTTTATATTCTCATGGTTTGCTCTGTCAGTGTGGGTATCTTGGAGATCCCTTGACTGGGCTGCTAAAACAGAGCAGCTGGTTAGTATGGAAATGTATATTTGTGAGAGCTGCTGGGTGAAAGCTACAGTTGGTGAAGTTTTCTGCCGGATGAAAGTTGCCCCCCCGCCCCCTTGAAAGGAAGGAGTCCCTAAGTATTGCTCTTAACACATTTCCTCTTATCACAGGTGGCAAGAATGCGCACAGCCGGCTTTTGTAGCACACAAATATAAAAACGATATCGTTAGTCATCCTGCACTGAATCATGGGTTACTCCCTGGGATTCCTTAAGGATTTCCGAGGGGTGCCTGGTGGAGCCATGTTTTGGAAGGGCAGGGATGCAGTCATTTGCAATTAGTCATGAGCTAATGATTGATATTCAATCATTCAGCTAGCAGAATGTATAAATGGTTACTCTTTGGTGTACAAATGGGTATCTAATTCTGGAAAGTCCAAAATCCCAAGTGTTGGAAAACAGGTACTTATTATAGAACTTGGAATAATTGGACTATTCCTTTTGTCAGAAATTATGAACCTGGCATCATGCTGGATGCAGCTACTAAGAGGATTGAATGAATGTCATCAACTGGTTAAATATAGTAATTTATATATGCGCATTCAAAAGGATGAAAGAAATATATAAGCTATAAAAACAGCAGTATGATGTATTAATTAAATGTTGGAAGCCAATGACATTTTTCCATTTATGAACGCATCTTGATATCATCTTTAAAAATCTTTGCTTGATAATGTTTTTACATTGCATTTCCACTGAAATGCGATCTGGGTGAATTGTAACATTAAAATATTAGTTTAAGACTTTAAAAACAAAATAGGGCAAAGCTAAATTTGAAAGACGACTTTATCTTTACTAAAAGATGTATACATGTTTCCATTTGAAACATCTTATAGAATAATAACAAAATAGTCCCTTCCAACTTTATTATTCTACGTTCTATGTTTCCAATCTCTTCTTAAAAGCCTCCTGTTGGAGTATCCACAAATTCTGGAGGCAAGTCATTCCATTGATTAATTATTCTGTCAGGAAATTTCTTCTTAGTTCTAGGTTGCTTCTCTCCTTGATTAGTTTCCATCCATTGCTTCTTGTCCTACCCTCAGGTCCTTTGGCGAATAAGTTGACCCCCCTCTCCTTTGTGGCAGCCCCTTAGATATTGGGACACTATAGAATATTAATAATTTATAGTAATTAATCATATATATATTAATAATATAGAATAGTAATATAGAATAGAAAGCCCTTTCTAATGTATGCCTTGCAAGGAGTTAAGCAGGAATTATAATGCCAGAATAGAATAGAATAGAATAGAATAGAATAGAATAGAATAGAATAGAATAGAATAGAATAGAATAGAACAGAACAGAACAGAATTCTTTACTGGCCAAGTGTGATTGGACACACAAGGAATTTGTCTTGGTGCATATGCTCTCAGTGTACATAAAAGAAAAGATAAGTTCATCAAGAATCATAAGGTACAACATTTACTGATAGTCATAGGGAACAAATAAGCAATCAAATCATATTAGGAAACAGTCAATATAAATATTAAGGATACCAGCAACAAGGTTACATACAGTCATAAGTGGGAGGAGATGGGTGATAGGAATGATGAGAAGACTAATAGTGATGCAGACTTAGTGAATAGTTTACAGTGTTGAGGGAATTTGTTTAGCAGAGTGATGGCGTTCGGGGAAAAACTGTTCTTGTGTCTAGTTGTTCTGGTGTGCAGTGCTCTATAGTGTCGTTTTGAGGATAGGAGTTGAAACAGTTTATGTCCAGGATGTGAGGGGTCTGTAAATATTTTCACAGCCCTCTTTTTGACTCCTGCAGTATACAGGTCCTCAATGGAAGGCAGGTTGGTAGTAATTGTTTTTTCTGCAGTTCTAATTATCCTCTGAAATCTTTTACAAGGGTCATTCTGAAAAAGGCAGTTTTTGGAATAGTTAGCTTAGGGCTTAGAACCAAGATTTGCAATTAAGTCTAGAAATATTTGGACTAGACTGGGACTAATATGGCTGTTACTACATTGTCATGAATCATTAAACAAGGAAGATGGGAACTGGCCAGCCAAATGCTTCTAAGGCATCATGTGAAAGTTATAATTAGTCTACATCACTTACCAGTGAGAGGTTTATTTGTTTTTCTGTTTTGCCTTTGAGTCATACTTGATTCCTGGAGACTACAGGGGCAAGGCCATGCAGTTATCCAGGCAGCAGTGCCGGAAGTATTTTGTCACTACCTCCTTGGAGCTGAGGGAGACCAGCCTGAAATCATCCAACTGGCTCCTGTGCCTAAAGCATTCCTCAATGCTAGTCCAGCCACTTAACCACTAGAACCAGACCAGCTCTCATTCAGAGTGATCCATTTTAATTAAAGAAATTCAATTGCAGCTGTTCTGTATAATAATGTGAATATTATTTAATGCGCTAGCTAGCAGTATCAAAGTTATTCTCCACAATTATATTTAACACAATTAATTTAAACCCTAATCAGTGATTTTGCATCTAAAGCCAACAGTTCCATAATAATAATTATTATTATTTATTCAATTTATATACCGCCCTTCTCCTATTGGACTCAGGGTGGTGCACAGCCAAGGATAAAAAACATACCAATACAAAATTTAAAATCAATTAAAAGAATTATACAGCTTTGGCCCACAATTTAAAACAATCCAACTAAAACCCAGTTTGCACTTAAAAAGCTAAAAAGCTAAAAAGAGCTTAAAAATGACCTCCTTGCTCTAAAACAGGACTGTCAAACTTGTGGCCCGTGTGGCCAGATGTGTCATGAGCTGGCCATGCCCACACCCGGTTTAGTGAAGGGGGAAAAAGTCTTGATACGTCACCTGATGCTGCTGTGATGATGGGAGTTTGACACCCCTGCTCTAGATTATTCTTTTCTAGGTTCCGCCATTAGGGAAGGACCAAACAGTGTTTCCAATCATTTAGAGACATTAAGACACGGGTGTGAAACTCAATTGTGTCATGTGACGTATTATGCTGTATCGTGATGTGTTTTGCCTTTGCGGAGCGTGACCCATCCGGCCCGCAGGCTGCCAGTTTCACACCCCTGCCTTAAGACAATAAGATTTTAAAGCCTCCACAGGAGCAAATAGAAGAATAGAGTAATTACAACCAACTAAAGGTAAAGGTAAAGGTTCCCCTCACACATATGTGCTAGTCGTTCCCGACTCTAGGGGGCAGTGCTCATCTCCGTTTCTAAGCCAAAGAGCCAGCACTGTCTGAAGACGTCTCCGTGGTCATGTAGCCGGCATGACTAAATGCCGAAGGCGCATGGAACACTGTTACCTTCCCACCAAAGGTGGTCCCTATTTTTCTACTTGCCTTTTTTATATGCTTTCAAACTGCTAGGTTGGCAGAAGCTGGGACAAGTAACGGGAGCTCACCGTTACGCGACACTAGGGATTCGAACCGCTGAACTGCTGACCTTTCGATCGACAAGCTCAGCGTCATAGCCACTGAGCCACCGTGTCCCTTTACAACCAACTAGTTGTAATCAAAACAGTACATCTTAAAATCCAGACTGTGAAGCTTTCTTTAAAATAGTTCTTAATTAAGCAAAAATAACCCAGAGTTATTGGCAATTGGGCAATGTATACTGCTCAAAAAAATAAAGGGAACACAAGCAGAAGACATCCGAGATCTGAGTGAATGAAATAGCCTTATTAAATACTTTGTTCTTTACATACAGTAGTTTATACACTGCTCAAACAACTAAAGGGAACACAAAACTACTGTATGTAACGAACAAAGTATTTAATAAGGCTATTTCATTCATTCAGATCTCGGATGTCTTCTGCTTGTCTTCCCTTTATTTTTTTGAGCAGTGTATATACCCAAGGTGCAGACTACAGAGAGGCAGTCCAACGCTTAGTAACAGGATATGAGAGGCAAGTACAGTAGGAACAGCTTACACAAAAAGAACCAACTAGCTGGTATTATGTATGGGAACATCTGCAGTGTGTGCGGACTAGATCCTCCCAGGTCCAGAGGAAGATTTCCACAGAAGGTCATGGAGAATTAAGAGGGCTAAGATCCTGTGGAACTTCTGGATCCAGATGGACAAGCAGGTATAGCAATGGCACTTAGACTTATATAACGCTTCATAGTGCTTTACAGCCATCTCTAAGCAGTTTACAGAGACAGCATATTTCCCCCAACAATCTGGGTCCTCATTTTATCAACCTTGGAAAGATGGAAGGCTGAGTCAAGCTCAATCAACAAGACATTATGGTAGAAGTCAAGAACCAGAAGATATGATGGTGATAGATAGAGCGGTACCAAATTTATTTTATTTTTTTATTTTATTTTATTTTATTTCTATACCGCCCTACTCCCGAAGGACTCAGGGCGGTGCACAGCCAAACAATAAAATACATACATACAAAATTTAAAAGTGGAATTAAAATCAAATTAAATAGTTTTGGCCCAGACAAATTAAAACCCCAATCAATTTAAAACCAATTTTAAAATTTGAATATATAAAATACTAAAAAATATTAAAAATTAAAAATCTTTTATAAAAGAGGGAGAAAATTAGGCCAGGCCCGCCTGGTGAAATAAAAAGATCTTTAAAGCACGGCGGAAGGTGCGCAGATCCGGGATCCTCCGTATCTCCGGGGGGAGCTCGTTCCAGATAGTAGGTGCTCCCACAGAGAAGGCTCTCCCCCTGGCGGCCGCCAGTTGGCATTGTTTGGCCGACGGCACCCGGAGGAGCCCCTCTCTATGGGAGTGTACCGGCCGGAGGGAGGCTATTGGTGGTACCCAGGTCCCGCAAGTACCCAGGTCCTGAGCCATGGAGCGCTTTAAAGGTGACAGCAATAGCTTGAAGCAAATGACAGCAATAGCTTGAAGACGACGGAATATGAAATGCTGGAAAACTATTGTGGCCTGAAGGAGGTACTAGAAGGGATGTGGAAAGTAAAGGCGAAAATGATACCAGTGGTAGGAGGAGCACTTGGGGCTGGGAGAGTGGCTCCAACAGACAGCAGGAACAACAGCGCTTTGTGTATTTCATGTCTCGGTGAATATTGAATAAGGGTTGATTGCGTTTGCTTTCCTGTTGGAGATGCAATTAAGGAAATGAAATATTAATTCATGTGGTTTCCATTTATCCTAGCAGTACAACCTTTTGGGCTGAATTTGAATAATTAATTAATAGGATAATTAATATGACCTGTTGCATATAGAACATACATATATTCTTCTTAGTTATACATGTAGTCCTCAACTTACAACCATTCATTTATTTATTTTTTTGCTTTAATTTATATGCCGCCCTTCTCCGGAGACTCAGGGCGGCTTACAATGCATTAAGCAATAGCCTTCATTTCATTTCATTTCATTTTCATTTTCATTTTATTTAATTCGTACACCGCCCTACTCCCGAAGGACTCAGGGCGGTGAACAGGCACAGGATAAAACACATAGAATACAAAAATTTAAGAGCAGAAGTAAAATAAATTTAAATCAATTTAGCCCAAGACAAATTTAAAACTCCAGGTTAAGAACAAATTAAAATTTAAAAACAACAAGTGTAGTGTAATTTTGACTTTCAGAATGCTTAATGCGAAGCAACTGGAAGGTTAATGGCTAAAAAAATAATTTAGCATTTTGATAGTATGTAGAAAGTATATAGAAAAGGAGTAATCTAATTGTGTTTTGAAGGCAATGATTCATAAAACCAATTAATCTGTTATTAGTAAACTATTGCTAAATAACGTAGCTTCCGTTTAAACATCATGCTAAACCTTATTTATTGAATCACAGATTGCTAGGTGTGTAATTCCACTAAGCTATATATCATGGCTTAGACTTAGAAAGAGGGAGGGAGAGAGAAAGAGAGAGAGACTATGTTGACTATAAAAGGTTACAATATAACACGGAAAAAGCACCCACTTTTTATTAGTATTAATGGGAAGACAGGGCACTTCTCACCAGTGGTGAAATCCTATTTTTTTTACTACCTGTTTTATGGGCGTGGCTTAGTGGGCTGGTGTGACTTGGTGGGCATGGCAGGGGAAGGACACTGCAAAATCTCCATTCCCTCCCCACTCCTGGGGGAAGGATATTGCAAAATCTCCATTCCCATCCCACTCCTGGGGGAAGGATATTGCAAAATCTCCATTCTCACCCCACTCTGGGGCCAGCCAGAGCTGGTATTTGCTGGTTCTCCGAACTGCTCATAATTTCTGCTACCGGTTCTCTAGAATCTGATAGATTTCACCCCTGCTTCTCACCGGATCTCCAGTGTTTATCCCTTGTCTGGACTGTAAACTTCGGGGCAAGTAACTTTGGATGACAGCTGAGAGTCTGAAACTTCAGTGCCATCTAGTGACCATCTAGATTTTTGCAGCCTACATGTGATAATCCAGGGCTTTTCGGTAGGTGGATGTTTTTGTTTTCCATCACTCCATTCAACAAGAGGGAGATGCAATTCAAAACTCTAAATGGCCCTGCTCAACTCCGATTTTTTTTTAAGGCAATACTCCATTTATAGAATTACGTGCCAGCATAAAAGTCTTATTCCTTCGGTAGCTACGTGACTATACTCTGTTACTTTACTGTGGGTGGGGGGGTGGGAGTGGGGGGAAGCAATCATCTGGAAACTCTTTAACAAGAAGTTAGGGGCGCACGCTGTGATTAATTATATATCTCTATCACTTCGATACATGTTAAAACACGTTCGCTCTGTTTTGTCCGTCACGACTTGACGATTTAGCATCGGCCAAATCCAGCAGCTGTTCAGTGCAACCGTGGTTTAAAAACTGAACCGCGCAGCATGCGAAGAAACGGGTAACTCCTAACCGGGTCTGCAAATCGAGGCATCCTTGCAGCGGTTTCTCCACCTCCACTAGGACTTCCCCAAATATCACTTATTGCTTGTATGTACACTGAGAACTTATGCACCGGAGACAAATTCCTTGTGTGTGCGATGGCACTTGGCCAATAAAGAATTCCATTCCCCTTTCCCTTTCCTTCCCATTTCTCTTTCCCTTTCCTTTCCCATTCTTCCTCTCCTTTTCCTTTCTCTTTCTCTTTTCCATTTCCCTTTCCCTTTCCCATTTCTCTTTCCCTCCCTTCCCCTCCTTTCCCTTTCCCTTCCCATTTCTCTTTCCCTTCCCTTTCCCATTCTTCCTCTCCTTTTCCTTTCTCTTTCTCTTTTCCATTTCCCTTTCCTTCCCATTTCTCTTTCCCTCCCTTCTCCTCCTTTCCCTTTCTCTTCCCATTTCTCTTTCTCTTCTCTTCCCTTCCTCTTTCTTCCCCTCCTTTCCCTTTCCCATTTCCCTTTCCTTCCCATTTCTCTTTCCCTCCCTTCCCATCCTTTCCCTTTTCCTTCCCATTTCTTTCTTTTTCCTTTCCCATTCTTCCCCTCCTTTCCCTTTCCCTTTCCCTCCCTTCCCCTCCTTTCCGTTCCCATTTCTCTTTCCCTTCCCTTTCCCATTCTTCCTCTCCTTTTCCTTTCTCTTTCTCTTTCCCATTTCCCTTTCCTTCCCATTTCTCTTTCCCTTTCCTTCCCTTTCTTCCCCTCCTTTCCCTTTTCCCTTTTCCCTTCCATTGCATATCAAAAAAAATACTGGGCTTCGGTCCTGGGAATCTCTCGGCACCTTGGGAGTTGTAATCCAGCGCGATTCCCGGCGGGCGCCTGGTTAGATTCATGCGCTCTGGGGAGAGACGTGGCAGGGTAGCTTTCCCCGAGTCTCCACCCCTCCAAGCTTGGCTCTGCGGTCACTTCCTGCAGCTGTTCGCATCTGTGTCCGGTTATGCTACGCCCTCCCCGGTCTCAGCCTCCCTCTCTCCTCGGCTATACGGGCAACGGGGCTGGGGAGATGGGAAGAAAGAGCCGGAGGTGCTGCTGAGCCTTGCCAAACGGAGCGCGATCCGCGTCCAGGAGGCGAGGCTGACGCCCTCGCATCTATCTCCCTCTCCGCTTCCAGCTCGCAGAAAGCCGGTAGGTCCGCGCCGTCTTCCTCCCTGCCTTCCGGAGATCAGGCGTGGGAGAGCCGCCAGCCGGCATCTGGATTTTGGGTGGGTGGATGGGGGGATGCGGGGCGAGGAAGCCCCGCTGTGGACTCCCCGGCGAGGCAACGGAGGCTCCGATTCTGCCTTTTGCACCTTTGTTGTTGCAGCTGTGTGTTGTTGTTGTTTTTTTTTTAAAATTTGATTTATATGCCGCCCTTCTCCGGAGACTCGGCGGTTTACAATGCCTTAAGCAATAGCCTTCATCCTTTTGTATATTTATACAAAGTCAGCTTATTGCCCCCACAAACTGGGTCCTCAATTTACCTACCTTAGAAAGGATGGAAGGCTGAGTCAACCTTGAGCCTGGAGAGATTCGAACCTGCAGTAATTGCAGGCAGCTGGTCTTAATAACAGGGTGCTTTAGACTACTGTACTACCAAGGCTCCTTCTGCTTGATTTGGAGGGGGGGGAAAAGTCTTTGGAGTGGCTGCAAAAGGCGATGCACATCTGTATCCGGAGAGAGGGAGATGCCAGGACTAGATCAGGTCGAGGAGGCGAGAGAGAGGCAGGAAGCTCATGGTGATGGGGATGATGATGATGATGATGATTGCAAGGATGACGATGGTGGCATCAATTCCTTGCAATTTAGCGATCCCTCCGTAGAGATTCTCAGTCATCCAGATTGTCCCAAAGGTGATTTTTTTTTTTCAGGGGGCAACTGGACTTTCTTCCTTCCTTTCTTTTTTAATTTGATTTATATGCCGCCCTTCTCCGGAGACTCAGGGCGGCTTACAATGCGTTAAGCAATAGCCTTCATACTTTTGTATATTTATACAAAGTCAGCTTATTGCCCCCACAATCTGGGTCCTCAATTTACCTACCTTAGAAAGGATGGAAGGCTGAGTCAACCTTGAGCCTGGCGAGATTCGAACCTGCAGTAATTGCAGGCAGCTGGTCTTAATAACAGGGTGCTTTAGACCACTGTACTACCAAGGCTCCTTCCACTTGATTTGGAGGGGGGGGGAAAGGCTTTGGATTGGCCGCAAAAGGCGATGCACATCTGTATCCAGAGAGAGGGAGATGCCAGGACTAGATCAGGTCGAGGAGGCGAGAGAGAGGCAGGAAGCTCATGATGATGGAGATGATGATGATGATGATTGCAAGGATGATGATGGTGGCATCAATTCCTTGCAATTTAGCGATCCCTCCGTAGAGATTCTCAGTCATCCAGATTGTCCCAAAGGTGATTTTTTTTTTTCAGGGGGCAACTGGACTTACTTTCTTTCTCTTTTTTAAAATTTGATTTATATGCCGCCCTTCTCCGGAGACTCAGGGCGGTTTACAATGCGTTAAGCAATAGCCTTCATCCTTTTGTATATTTATACAAAGTCAGCTTATTGCCCCCACAATCTGGGTCCTCAATTTACGTACCTTAGAAAGGATGGAAGGCTGAGTCAACCTTGAGCCTGGCGAGATTCGAACCTGCAGTAATTGCAGGCAGCTGGTCTTAATAACAGGGTGCTTTAGACCACTGTACTACCAAGGCTCCTTCAGCTTGATTTGGAGGGGGGGGAAGTCTTTGGAGTGGCCGCAAAAGGCGATGCACATCTGTATCCGGAGAGAGGGAGATGCCAGGACTAGATCGGGTCGAGGAGGCGAGAGAGAGGCAGGAAGCTCATGATGATGGAGATGACGATGATGATGATGATTGCAAGGATGACGATGGTGGCATCAATTCCTTGCAATTTAGCGATCCCTCCGTAGAGATTCTCAGTCATCCAGATTGTCCCAAAGGTGATTTTTTTTTTTCAGGGGGCAACTGGACTTTCTTTCTTTCTCTTTTTTAAAATTTGATTTATATGCCGCCCTTCTCCGGAGACTCAGGGCGGTTTACAATGCGTTAAGCAATAGCCTTCATCCTTTTGTATATTTATACAAAGTCAGCTTATTGCCCCCACAAACTGGGTCCTCAATTTACCTACCTTAGAAAGGATGGAAGGCTGAGTCAACCTTGAGCCTGGCGAGATTCGAACTTACTTTAATTGCAGACAGCTGGTGTTAAATTACAGTGCTTTAGTCTGCAGAGCTATCCAGGCTCTTGGGGTTTTTTTTCCCCCCCCTTTTGAAGACCTTTCGCTTCTCATCCAAGAAGCTTCTTCAGCTTTGACGAGGATAATGGGGAATGGGAAGGATTGATGTTCCTTGCAAGACAGCTGGTCATTTGCATCCTTTGAGAGAGTCATTGGAGGTCTGTCGGTGTCCTCGGGGTCACCTGGTTCCTGTAGTCTGCAATTCCACCCCCCCCTTTCTGGAAATCCAACCCTACTCCCACACGGTTCAAAGGGTGTTCATCCCAAATTGTATATTTAAAAGTCTGTAGAGATTCTCAGTCAGCCAACTCACAGTTGTCCCAAAGGTGCTTTATTTCAGGAGGCAACTGGACTCTTGCAAGAGAAGCAAAATGTCTTCAAAAGAAAAAACAAGGAAGTCCAGTTGCCTCCTGAAAAAAAGCACCTTTGGGACAATTCAGCAATCAATGTATGGTGAGATCCCTAGAATATTGGGGCAAGCGAGAAAGAAAAATATATACAGGTAGTGTTCTGCCCCAGCTACAGACCCCAAAGAACGCAGCACACACAAAGTCTGTACATACCTTAGTTTACTAAATTAAATCAGTCTTTTTCAAACAAAGGCTGTTAATTAACTTTCTTAACAGCCTACAAGAATCCAAAGAATAAATAATGGTAATCTTACTATGGTTGGCAGAAAGCCCAGAAGCAATTTGCAGGAAACTGATAAGAGCACTAAGATCAAGACACGAAGGAAAGTGAACTAAAGTTGTTCCCTGCAAATTGCTTCAGTTGGCGTCCTTCTTTAAGTAGTCTAAGGGAGTGGCCAATTAGCCCCAATCCTTACTCTCGAGGAGACTTCCTCCTGAGGAGCCATTCCTGCCTTTTGGCAGCTCTGCGCCCCCGTGCATCGAGAAGAGGCTCCTCCTCTTCTTCCTCTTCACTTAAGGGAGCTTCTGGAGGTTCTGAAGGCCCTGGCTGAATCCCCGCCTTTGGCACCACATCTTCTCCAGCCTCCTCATTATCTGACTCGAGCGCCAGCTGCACAGACTGCTGGCGCAGCACCACACCAGCCTCCTCGCTGTCAGAATCAGCTACTAGCTGCACAGGCCGCTGACGGGCCACAACAGGTGGTCCTCAACCTACGATCCGGATGGAGCCCAAAATTTATCTTGCTAAGTGAGACATTTTGTTAGGTGAGTTTTGCCCCATTTTACAACCTTTCTTGCCACCGTTGTGAAGCGAATCCCTTCCGTTGTTAAGTGAGTGACAGTTGTAAAATGAATCTGGCTTTCCCCATTGACTTTGCTTGTCAGAAGGTCCCAAAAGGCTGATCGCATGACCCTGGGACAGTGCAACTCTCATAACTATGAGTCAGTTGCCAAGTGGCCGAATTTTGATCAAGTGGCCACGGGGATGCTACAACGGTCGTAAGTATGAAAAACGGTCCTGTCACTTTTTTTCAGTGCCGTTGTAACTTGGAAGGGTCGCTAGATGAACAGTTGTAAGTCGAGGACTACCTCTGATGCTTAAATTAACCATAGGAGAGCCTGCTCTGCAACCTCAGCCATACCATACCATCTTGCGCTGCGAGATTCCCCCTTCTCGCAGATGTGGCCCTCCTCACTATCGAGGGCCCACCTCAAGGAAGGGTTTTGGGACCCAGAGAGGTGGCATGTGAAAACGAGGGGATTGAGGGGTTTTTTAACAAAATTTTTAGTCAAATTTTTAAGGGGTCCTAGGGAGGGGGAGGGTCAGATTGGAATTCGGGCTGTGGGTATGGGGGATAACCCACAAGGGGGAGGGTCGGGTCTGGCAGTGAAGCGTGGTGTGGGGGATGGAGGACCCGGGATCGAGGGGGGGGGTTAGAGCTTGTCCGGATAGTTTTTTGAACATCAGTACTGTAGGTGGGAGGGGTAGATATGGCGGGAGCAGGGGGCCATATCGTGTTAGGGGAGTGCGCACTCGCTGTCTACGAGCGGTGGCGTGCTCCGGCCCCCAAGGCTCTACTCGCTCCTCAGGTTGCATAGACCCTCAGGACCCAGGCCTTCGGATGATGCTGTGCAATGCCAGGTCCGTAGTAAATAAAGCCCCCCTCATCTGTGATCTTGTTCAGGAGGGGGGTGCGGACCTGGCAGGTATTACGGAGACCTGGTTGGGCCAGGAGGGGGGGGGGTTCCCCTCGTTGAAATGTGCCCGCCAGGTTTCCAAGCATTCCATCAGCCGAGGTCACAGGGGAGGGGCGGGGGGGTAGCGGTTATCATTAAAGAAGGTCTGAGACCGAGGGAGGCCACTGTTCCTCAGACGGCCGGCTGTGAATCCCTTTTTGTGAAATGGGGTCATGGGGTTCAGATGGGTTTGCTGATCACGTACCTGGCTCCCTGCCACGTGGCAACAGCCCTGCCCGAGCTACTCAACGTCATCGCCGCGGTGGCGGTTGATACCCCTAAGCTTATGGTTATGGGGGATTTCAACCTGCCGTCCATGGGTGAGACGTCAGAGATGGCTCGGGAGTTCATGGCTTCCATGACAGCTATGGACCTGACCCAGTTAATTCATGGCCCTACCCACACAGGGGGAAACACGCTGGATCTGGTTTTTGTCTCTGGACAGTGGTTGAGGGATCTTGATATAGGGGATATAGTTACTGAACCCTTGTCATGGTCAGATCACTCTCTCCTTCGTCTCGACTTTCGAACCGCTGCACCCCGCCGCAGGGAGGCGGAGCCGGTCAGATGGTTCCGCCCCAGGCGCCTGATGGAACCTGACAGATTCCAGACGGAGCTTGGGCCATTTCCTGAGGTTCTGGCACACGCCTCGACTGGAGACCTGGTGGCCGCCTGGGATAGGGCGGCTGCTGGTGCTCTGGATCGGGTCGTGCCTTTGCGGCCTCTGACCCGGCGCCGATCTCAATTGGCTC